CAATCTTACACAACTCTTGGGTACTTTGTCACATGTTAAAATCAACACTCTGTTTAGATCAATCATTCCCTAAACATGTTTTGATCACCTGAAAGTTATCGGACTTTCCTAGTCTTGAGTACTTTGCTATCCCTGACTTCCAAATGTAAACTTCTACGTAGCCCAGCACCACCCCCAGCTAATGGTGTTAGTTTTCCCCTTAGCACTCATTTCCTTACTTCACTTAGTTTTCTGTATGGTTGTTTGCCTCCCTTCATTAAAATATAACTTCCAAAACCACAAAGAAATGTGTCTTTTGATGCTCTATTTCTAATGCTTATTAGCAGTGCCCCATTTATTTGACCAGTGCCCAGTACATATCTCCTAAATGAATAAATCATTGTTATCTCATACTTTACAAGCCTGAATGAAATTAGGCCGCCTTTGTTTAACACTTGATATGGAAACTAGGAACATTTAGGGAATTTATTCCAACGTACATAGTTGTAAGAGGATCCAAGCCCATGTGAGTCTGACTCTGACCCTTCCGTCTTTCTACATCCACTTCCTCATCCCTACACAATTTTTCTGCATGTGAACGTTAGCTGTGTACTCATTTCATTTGGGACCTACTGTCCTGTGATAATCCAAGATTAGGTGCTGCATGTTAAAGGAAGGGGGCCCTCTTTGATGATGGCCTGCCCCTGCCAGGCTGGAGCTTGATGTTGACAAATGTAGGTTAAGAGAAGCAGTGAAGGAGGCATTGAAAGAAAGACTGGCCAAGTAATTCTCCCAAATGGCCAGCTCTTTTTCCAGAGGTGTGCATAGATGAATATTTATAGAAAACTTTCAAGGATCCCCTCCACACACACACACACACACACACACACACACACACAAAAAAAAAAAAAAAAACAAAAAAAAAAAAAAAAAAAAAAAAACAAAAAAAAAAAAAAAAAAAAAAAAACAAAAAAAAAAAAAAAAAAAAAAAAACAAAAAAAAACAAAAAAAAAAAACCCCAAAACTTTAAAACCTACCCTTTTGTTTTCCCTGTTTCTTTTTTCACACATTGCTCATCGTAAGATCATGCCAACTCCACACCAAGTGAGTGGAAATGGTTGACTCAGTTCTGGTTTGCTTTTATGTGATCTGTTTCTGGTAAGTGGAGATTTTTTTCCCCTAGTCTGTTACGTGCCTATTTATATAGCAATCATCTCTTTTGATGTTGTGTGAAAGGCATAAGAAGAGACTAACAGCCTGTGTGGAATGAACTCTGAAATGTCCACTGCTGAGCCTCAGTTGGGGTACAGACATGGTCCTAGAAAGGATGCCAGAAAGCCTTTCTTCTGCCTCCTGGACATAGTGTAACTCAGAATGAATTAAAATCATGTCACCTTGGCCTGACATAATTGAAGAATGAGATAAATACTCCATGAAAAATTGTAAATAAAGATCTATCCTTGGCATTGAATTTTTAAATTTATTTTAACATCAAGAAATGAAATTGGCCTTACTTTTTATATTTTTTATTATTATAAAAAAACCTCCCTTTTCTGAGCAAAATACTCAGAGCATGTTCATTTTGATATGAGCTGAGGCTCACATTTGCAAAGTGGCTACGGATAGAAGACGGGATAGGCAGGCCTTGCCCTTTCTATAGCCACAGTAAGAAAAGTTGTGTTGCTCAGTGAGCTTCCATGTGCTTTCTGACCCTCTGTTTGCTTTTAGATTAAATGGCCTCAAACTACTCAATTTCATGTGCTCTTTGTCTTTGAAAGTCATTTTTACCACAGCTCTCCTGCTTGATATCAGTGGTGGTTTTCAGATGCTCCCAGGGGTTTCACCTCTAACTATAGGACTCTGTTTTCAAGTACCATGTGTTTCTTCTGCCCCAAACCTCTGGTTTCAGTTTGCTGTTTCTACCCTACCATGAGCTGATTAACAAGCATGCAAGTACATATAAATTAGATTTAAGTTAATAGAGAGACTGACTTTTTTCAGCTAAAATACTATAGTATTGTAGGCAGTAGTAACAGAATTGATTCTAAGATGAATGGATTAAAAAAGCAGTATCCTAAAATTTGATTTTATGTGCTATACCTGAAGTCAATCTATCTATAAATGAACTTTGTATGTTGGACTTTTTAGTGATTAATTCTTATTTACTTCTTTATTCCTAGAAGCTGTCTGATAACAATAATAACTTGTCATATTTAATTTTTCTATAGATATAGAAGTTAAAAATTTTACACTAATTCCTTTTAAATCAAAGGTTACTTTGTATAGATTTATTTTACTTAGAATAATTTGTACTTAAATTTTTATTAATAAAATATCTTATGTCTTGAAATTGTTACCTCTATGCCCTGTAATCTCACGTATTCGTTCACAGAGGAAAGCTTACTCTGAATTGACACAAAGCAGATGGAAGGCATAATATTTTATTCTCCCAGGATTCTGAGATAATGCTAAAACCTTGTTATGTGCCTGACACATTTTCCCCTTTATCATCCATGTTACTATATTGAATAATATGTGATATCCAAGAAAATATGGCCAGGATTCAGAACTTGTATGAATGGGTAAGAATAATTTGGAATGAGCACATAATTATATAAAATAACATATATGTAGAATACATATATATAGAAAGGGGGGAGTGTAGAATCTACATTCTAGATGACTCATAAAATATTTTAGTAAATTCTGCCTCTTTATTTAAGTATTCTCCTTTTTCTAGCTAGTAATTGTAATTTAACCTTCAACCGTGTCATTCCAAGTCATAAAAGCATAAAACTTTATACTCTGAAGACCCATTCTTTTTTCTTCACCCACCATTTTTATTCCCTCATAATCAAACTCATGTGAGCCTGATTTATTGTGTTGTTTGGGGTGGGAGTTGTGTCCTCAGATTGTGCCAGGGTTTGAGTCCCCAGAGAATTCAGACTTGCCTGTCCACGCATTGGTCTGCTCCTTTAGTCCTTAACTGAAAGGCAGCGGGAAGAAAGAGCAGAGGGTCACCTAGCACGTTGCATCTTTTATTCTCAAACCTAACAAAGAAGCTCCAATGAATCATGCTCCTTTGTCCCCCAAACAAATTTGAGATGTCAGTAGTGATCACCTGGTAGTGTCGCCTTGCCATTCAGATCCCCACTGTCTACACCTCTGAGGGCCCTAAGGATAGGAAGTTCCAGGAGGGGGTACCAGCGTGTACTCCATCTATTCCCGAAGCTTGTGATTCCACAGTTGCTCATTTCTCCCCACAACCTCAGAACAAATTGAGAGGACACACAATAAGCACATGTTAACTCGGAAAAGAGCCTCCACATGAGGAATCCTGGCACGTGCGTTTTACTAGCTGTTCTCAGTGCAGTGCCAGGATTGCTTTGCCGTGCTTGCTCTCAGGACCACTCAGCACATCTTTTCAGTATCATGCTAATGAAGAGGAAGTGCTTAGAAAAGCCTACGTGGACCAGCCCAGGACACTCAGCTGCTATTCTGAGTAGAATGAAAAACCTAAATGACCAATTCACAGCCACCCCATCCCAGCTGGCCTGTTTCATGGCACCGACGTCTTCTCTCTGAGCCCACATCTTCTTGGTTCCTATGTTGCTTTCTTGCGTAGCTTCATTATATTTCACAGGGGAAATGCAAAACGAACAAAGTATGTTTCCCACACTTTCTTACTTGGGCAACACAAATACCGAAGCTCTGCCTGTTAGATAGTTTGGTCCAGAACAGTTTTAATTACTTGATGAACCCGTCTCCTGCATCTTCCCTTTTTTATCATCTATGTATTTCACAAAAGCCTAGCCGAGTACAGTCATTTGTTCCTATGAAATGAGTGATGTAACAGATGCTGACCTGTATGTGCTAATGTAAAATAAAATGACTCGTATACAGTATTAACGAGCACTGATTAAACGTTTTCATGTTGATGAGTTTTGAGGACAGGGTTAAGTAACTCATAACTTGTATGTTTTTATTTTGCCGCGTAGTTGCATGGCATTGACAGATCCTCAGTTTCTTTGTCCATTGTGAGTGTCATAGTCCCCTGCTGAACCAGCAAGTTGAGTATCATCTTGCTTTCTTTATGGCCGTTTCCCAGCTGCAAGGCTGTTCTCACAAGTATACCATCCCCCATTATTGGACTTGACGGTCATTCTCAACTTTGTGACTCAGAGCCTGCCAGTTCTTCCTCACAAGGAGAAGATACATGTACAGTCGTCTGTTTGTTATCCCAGGTTACTTGGTGATTTCTCCTTGTTTAAACACCAGTAGATCTCCTTTCAGAAACCAGTACTCAGGCTGACACGGATCTATAACTCAGTGGTAGAGTGCTTGCCTAGCATGTACAAGGTCCTGGCTTTAACAAAACACCCCAAAACCAAAAATCTTGTGATTGTTACATGTTGCTACAAAGAATGCCCTACATTGCGTTTCCTCTACACCATCAGGAATGTTCTTTGCCCAGCACAGAACCCAAGCCGACCTCTCGGGTTCTGGGTTTCAAGGCACATTTGACCTTTGAGGTCTGAGTTAATTTACTCTTGGCAGAAGAAAATGCATTGTTTAAAAAGAATTGGATTAGGGAGGTTCATAATAAGGACCTGTAACACTTCTTGGACCTCAGATATGCCTTACAAAACAAAATGTTTATGAGCTAAGTGTAAATGATTCAGAAACATACGGATCGAATTTCCCCTAAAATGCGAAAGGATTTTAAAATTAGCAGGAAAGGGCCTGGCAAAAGATGAGTTTTGAATTTACCCAAACCCAGAGGATTTGAAATGCAGTTTAAGAAGCTTGACAAACCCAAACTGTGACTAAGGTTTTCTTTGTGGGTGTCTTTTCTTCCCTCAGTGTCTCAATGAAGAACTCAGAACTGGATGGTTAAAAGGGAGAGAGAAGAGTTCTAAAGGCTGTTTGAAAAGCCTCTTGTCACGTTTGGATAGAGCCAGAGTGGGGACTGACCAGGCTTCGGGAGTTAGTCATGCTGCCTTCGGTTTTTATTTTCTCAGGTTCGCACCTCCGACTCCATCTCCTCACCACATCAGCCCTGGGAGAGTTCCTGCTTCATCACTGCTGCAGAGAACGCAGCCTCCCCACACTCAACAGCCATCAGGGTCTCTCCTGAAGTCCTACCAGCCAGAGACAAGCTCTTCATTTCAGCCAAATGGCATCCACGTCCATGGTGAGCAGGGAGCTGGCAGTGCTTTGGGTTCTGAAAGGCCCTGTTTTGCTGCTGCCTTTGATCAAGGGTCTTAGTGGCCAGTTGTGGGTTTCAGATGTTCTGTTTTACATCAGACTTAGGCTTTTAGAATTTTCCTCCAAAACTGCACACTTAATAGGCACGAAATCTTACAATATTTTCCTCAGATGGCATGACTTATAACACCCACAGTTGTCAACCCAAAGCAATGATTTGTGTTCCCAGTACTCTGACACCTCAAAGACAGATTGGAGCAACAGCATCTTGGTCTTAAATGATCAAGAGATTGGGTGAAAGGAAAGCACTGGAGCCCTGATGTCCACACCTCTCATGACTAGGCAATGTAGTAGATCCACAAGCCAGATCCTGTCATCCTTCAAGGCACCTCTTCCTCAAAGCCTTCCCTGGTTCTCAGATGATGTTGTCCTTCCTGGCTATGAACTCTGACTGCTTCTTGCCTGTATTTCTTGGATAAAACTTCTGCCTTCTCCATCTTGTAACTTACATTATTTTCCTTATTAGTATGAAAACTTGCTTCTGAGACGAGAATTTTCTCACTTGTTGTCGTAGCTCTTAGGGAACTTAGCACATTCCTTCGTGTGTGTTCACAACACATAGATACTGTTATACGGGTATAGGAAGAAAAGAAGGTAAGGAAATGAGAAATCACAGCGGCTTTCACAGTGTGCCACTCTTGTACAAAGACCACACACAGAAAGCTAAGTCTGGTTTAATTTCTTTTCTTAATTTAAACCCATTTTGTCAGTTCAAAACATACCCCGGGGAACTTCCATAGGAAGTTGAAGTGCCATGTCACACAGACTCAAACTGTCAAAGACTTTGACTTTCTATTAAGTCAGACCTTCTGTGTAAGTGATACTTTCCATTTAGACTACTGCCACTAAATAATCTTTCATCTGCTTCCTGTTGCTATCGTATGTAGATTATTACTTGGAGTTAATGGATCACGTTCCCAAACCAGTGCTCAATCTGAGTGTCAGTGTGCATAACGTCCTAAGACAGCAGCATCCAACAGTATTGTGGAGCTAAACTTAGACAAGAGCCTCAAAGCAGAGGCCTGAGTGGCAGAGAGGGGCAACAGAATAATAGTGGTCAGCTGTAGAAGGGTGGGCATCAAAAACCCAGGACCACTGGCTGTAGGCCCAAGTTCCGTCCATCTCTCCAGTTCCCACTTGTCCATTGTTGTCACATAAACTCCCTCTTTCCCAGCAAAGCTTGGACTTGCACATTTCTCAATCTTATGGTAGATTTTGCCTTCTTCTGCTTATAAATTCCTGTTTTTATTATACCAAGAAATAGTTCTGAAGTATCTGCTGCTAGTGCAGCAAGGCAAAGCCTGTATGAAAAAAAGAAAAGCCTGGGCTGGAGAGATGGCTCAACAGCTAAGAGCACTGGGTGCACTTGCAGAGGACCTGGGTTCAATTCCTAGTACCCACATAACAGCTAACAACTGTCTATTCTAGTTCCAGGGGATCTGAGGCCTTCTTCTGACCTCCACTGGCATTGCACAGTACAAATGTACTTACGAACATGTAGGCAATACGCTCATACACATAAAATGAAAATAATAAGTGAAATTTAAAAAAATGAAAAATGGAGCCCTCTTCCTGGTCAGTCAAAGTACGTGTCTGAAGCAAGGAGACCCAAAGCTATGCACTGGAAAGTCACCTGCACACCTCCAGGGAGGAGGTGGACAGCCTGAGTGTGGGCGCTGTAGAAGACAGAGTAGGTCACCCTCTGTGAAACACTTTTTTAACCACCACATTTTAACACTGCTGACATCTGGGCATATCTCTCAGTCGGTAGCATCATGTAATTGGTAGTGATGTCTTTCTCTGGTGCTGTACAGAATATTGGAACATTTCACAGTCAACCATGTGATTGTTCCAGCAAAATACAACTGAACCTGCTTTGATTACAACTGTAAAATCCTTTTTAAAGTTTTTAAACATTAACTTATGTGTGCAAAAACTAACTGCAAAGAAATTTTGCTACAATTTTTTAGGTTACTTTTGTTGTTGTTTTAATCAGGGTAGTAGGATAATGAGCAGATTCTTTTTCTGTTTTTTGTTTGTTTGGTTTTTGGTGAGTTTGTTTTTTTTTTCTGCTTTCTAAGAAAAACAGTAAAAATTTAAAACAGGGCTAGGAAGGAGACCAGTTTTCATGTGACTCTAGTCAACGCTGAATTTCATGGTCCTGTGTGGGTTATTGAGGCTCCGCTCACATCACCAACGATAAGAGTCTCTTCTTTCATCTTTCATCAGTTGTTATAAGAAGTTGCTAAGAAAAGAATGAGGCACAGAGTAGGAACTTGTTTAATTTCGTTTGTTTCCTTCTCCCTCCCTGTTCTTTATTAGACTCTGAGAACAAGGATTGTGTTTGTGTCCCCAGGGCAAGCATAGTACTTGCTGCAAAGTAGGCGTTTAATAAGTATTTACTGGATAAGTAATTGGCACTTTCTCATTCAACAAATGAATAATGAACCAAGGGGACTGAGAAAGTGGATCCTTGCTGTCATTTTGGCAAAATACTCTTTTTCTGCATTTCTCCTTTTTAAGTTAGATGAATACATTTTCAGCTTGAAAGTGTTTTATTTTTAACTTTCACTTTCTTAATTGTTCAAGATTCCTATGACCAGTGAGAAACTGCTGAGATCAGCCATAAATTTGGTTCAGGATACAGTTAGGAAAATTGGGTGTTTATGACACTCTCCAGGAAGATGGGCAAGTGGCTTCTGTGGCAAGATTGCAAATAAAACACCCAAATATTAGCCACAGGCCACTGCTGGAGCTAGTGGTAGAGAGGCAGATGTAGCCTTACTCCCTCTCTAAGCAGTTTTCTGAAAATGCCCCCCACCCCAGAACTTTCTGAGTGCAAGCATTTCTCATCAACCAGTCTCTAGATAAGAACAAATTCATGTACTGTTTTTCAAATGAGTGTTATAGTGATAGGGGTAAGGAAGCCCTAACCAGGCACATTTATTAACTGCGAGTTTTCCCTTGTGTGGGTTATACTTGCTGAAGTTGTACAGCACTTTGGTGACAGGGACCTTCATCCGCTAATAAAACACTATTTTTAAAGCTACAAGCAATGTCAGAGTTTCTAACTCAGTGGCTACAGAAAGTGTTTGTTCCCCCTTTCAAGCTGTTCGTGGCTTTAATGAACATGGTCACTCGGTCTCTGTCCTCCCTGCAGTTTGTAGAAATCGAGGAGAAATGTCATCACTATAGTTTTAGAGATGGAATAGGGATACATGACAATATAAAATGTCTAGGCATCACTGCCTTGGTAAAGTACATGGACTTACCATGACGTCTACATTTTCAAACCACATTCATAATCATTGTGTTTCTAAGTCAGAGGCACGCCTAAAGAAAGAGGTGTTTACATTTTTCCTTGGGAGAAATGTAATGCCTGAACACAGATGCTATTGCCTTCCATGGAACATAGAAGGTCAGCATCCAGAGGGGCTTTGGTCTTACAAATAAAAAGGAAGAGGAGGACTATTGAGCACTGTTAATCATCCCACTAATTGCTGCTGCACTTAGACATTGTGTGCTGCACTTATATTTTTGTTAAAAAGTAAAAGATGCACTTTGTAAAGATTAGCAGCAAAGCTTTTTCAAGTTTTCTCACCCCAGTTTTATTGATTCTGCATCAGCTTCATCTGTTCAGATTGCATTCAGTAGTAAAGAGGATAAGGTGTCTTTTCTTTTCAATGTTTGAATGTTGACAGAATTTTCCAGCCTCTGTTTGAGGGATATCTCTACGGCAACTTCTAGTACATTGGAAGCCTTTCTTTTAGATGTAAACATAAGGACACTTTTTCCAATCATGTAAGCTTGTTCTTTGGTCTTTTCTTTCCTGTCAGGGTAATTCTCTTGCCCAGGCAAGCTTCAGAATTTTGCCTGGATTAGTTGCCTCAGAGTTGATATTTGTACATTTTGTTATGGTGCTAATGGATAATTTCTTTTTAAATGCCCTATTCACTATGGATTGTTCAGATGCCATGGGAATTCCTGGAACAGCATTTTCACAATCTTCCTGCTTGCTTCTGGACACATCAAGGGGAGGCCAAGTTCAGTTCAGCGGGTGTTTGTTGGTCACCCTCTCTGTACCAGGCAGACGTGAATGTCATTTAATCACTGCCTACATGTAACAGTAGAAGGGTTAAAGGGTGCCTGATGCATCCAGAGGAAAAGGTTTATAGAGGTGATACTTCCAGAAGCTTTTGAAGATAGTAGTTTACTGGGTAGGTATAAGGAGAAAGGCACTCCCAGCCCCGGAGAAGCAAAGGTGAGGGGAAGAACACAAATGTCAGGGGGGAGTGTGCAGTCAGGAAAGACACAGGGAGCCAGTGTCCTGCTGGGTTAAGCCATAAAATGGATGGGAAGATACGGGAGAAGCCAGAAGGCCAGCTCAGAAAAGGGCAGTGTGCCCCCTTCAGTGTAGCACTGCCCAGTCAGCTGGAAAGTCAAATAGAGCTCTGTGCATGGGAGAGGCAGAAACATTAAGCTCTCACTGTCAGATTTAGATTGGGCTGCTTGGGTGGCTGAGATGGAGTTCTGTTCATGCAGATGCGACTGGGACATGGAGGAAATGATATCAGAATAATAGGGAATTGTGTTTGTTCACATGCAGTCTTTTGTAAGGAAGGAGAGATAGAATAGCAAAGAATAAATGAAAACATCCTCAACTTACCTGCTGCACAGGCAGAAGTCGTTTCAGCTTTGTTTTAATGAAGCTAGAAATGAGTGCAATCCTGGAGGGATCCTGCTCAAGGGAGGTACACACCCAACCTTGCATTGACCTCATCTTCTATCCCTTCCTTTCATATACCAGATACTGTGATCAACTTTTGACTCAGTATTTGCAAGCCTATGTGTCCTACAGATTGTTTTGTGCTCCCTTGTGTGTGTGGCATATGTATATGTTCATGTGGGTGTATGCACGTATGTCTG